AATAGCAGGACAGACCGAGAACATGATCGTAAGCGTGTATCACGCATGGCACATAACTGATTGACTCTCGTGCTAAAACCCTTGGGAAAGGTAAGAATACTCTTCTTCTAAGCTATGGGTAAATAGCAGGACAGACCGGATTTTATAGCCTTGGATGGCAGCTGGTCTACCGAAGAAAGAAATAGCAACCTACTGCGGGGAAAAGATCGGCCTCGTCAGTCATGTATCGAAAGATACATAATCACCTAAGCGTGTATCACGCATGGCACATAACTGACTGATATATTAAATAAAGACGCCTTTTCTTGTCTTATTCTGTATATATCTACTTTTATTTAATGTATGTTTTAAGAGAATTTTCTCAACTCGTAGATCACATATTTTAGTGATGCTTCGTTCTTGTATATTATACTCGGAAGGAAGATCACATTTTTAAGTTAAGTAGCAACGATAAAACTTACTCCCGACTTACGTTGCCCACTTTCTTCAAAGCTGTATTAACATAACTGAACACTAGTTGTTTGTATGTGTATGCCTCTTCATGACACCCTTCCTCCTTTGTTCCTGAACCGACATCGTGCCCCATTTCGCAGCCATCTGGTATTGAAGACGGAAAATGAAAAGAATTTTTTTCTTCGACCAAATTCTCACGCACGAGCGTGTGTTTACTAGAACTAATTTGTGGTGTTCAATTTTGGATTATTATTTTTTTCTTTGACATAGCATCTGTTTTAATGTTTTGAGGCTTTTCTGACTGTCACGAGATCACAAATTGCAAGGAGTGGAAGGGTTTTAAAAATGTAATCCAAAATTACTGAAATGAAGACGACAACATCTATGCCGAACATACAGCAACAACTTCATCATTTACGCACCATGTAGATCAGTTGACATGTTGCTGTGGAATAAGTGTTAGGAAGGAGGAAAATAACACATGAATGTGCAGAGAAGGAGTAAGGAGATCTTTTATTAAACTTTCGGTACAGGAGAGCTAAAGGGAGATAATAGAGTTATAGGATTTAGTTAAGTTTTCTCAACACGCCACATGCTCTCATATTGCTATTTTATTTATTTATTTATATGAGAGCAACATAAATGAATGGGTTTAAAGTTCGAATAAAAGTCCCTTGAATTTCTCTAATATTTCTATTATGTACTTTACTTGACTCATTTGTAATAACTCTTAAAGCCTATTCCTAGGAAACGGCGGAGTTTTCCAAGATCCTTCATCTTAAAGTTTGATGTTAGCATTTGTTTAGTGAGTTGATGTTGTCGGCTGTGAGGTTTAAATCATCGACCCATGATATGATTACAACTCTTTCTTTGTTATTGTGTCTAATATAGACACAGTAGTATGCTTGATTCTGTATGAAGTCGATTCTGGTGAGGCAATCAAGTTGGGTTTTATTCCAGTTTCTGTTTTAGAATATATAAGGGTTTTTTTTCAACTTACAGACTGGTCTCTTGTTTGTATTCGATATTACTTCAAATCTCTCTGGTTGTTCCAGGAAATTTTCATAATTAATTGGTGCGTGTAGGTACGCTGTTTTTACGTCCAATTGATGTACTATGAATCGTATTGTACAACCATTTGGATTAATATGCGTATGGATGTGATGTCCGCTATTGGAGAAAAAGTCTCCTTATAGTTTAGTCCCTTCAATTGACTGTATTCCCTGGCAACAAATCTTGCTTTGTATTTTTGCGATCCGTCTGGGTTTTGTTTAAATTTATAGACCCATCTATCACTTATCGCCCTTTTGTCTTCAGGTAGGTTTGTCAGTTTGAAAGCGTCATTCTCTTTTAGAGATTTGATCTCTTCCTGCATTGCTTTATAGGTCTGTGGCACACCAAATGTAGCTCTGTAGCACTAATCGACATTGATTAATGCCTGGTTGTTTTCGTGTTCAACGTTTATTACGTAGTCATTTAGGTAACGAAGAATTCTCTCATCCCTTATTGGGTATCGGCGGGTATCGTCATCAGTATGTGGGTGATCTCCAAAGTTAGGTTGGATGTCTAGTGACTCTTTTAATTTCTGGATTTGTATTTCTTTCTTTCAGGGAGAATCATCCTCATCATTCAACAGGTCAGTTTGTTGTTCAATGACGCTAATAATGAACGTACCTTGTCTATGTTTAAGGACCTTCCTATTTTCAGGGTACCAGATACGAAAAGCTGTTCCTCTCATGCCTGACTAATATTCCCTTTTCGCATCTTGGGTTTAACTTTTTCTTCAGGTGTTTGTAGGCGTAACACACTGAACCAAAAATATTCATGCTTGAAATGTTGAGTTTCCTTCCTATATTGCGTAATAGAGGGTCTGTCTTGGGCAGTTATTGAAACATCTATTGCGAATCACTTCAGATGTCAAAACGGCGTAGGTTCATAAAGTTTTTGGTGGACCACTTTCTATAATCATGCATCTGGTCATTTCAGTGTTCGCCAATTCCTTTCTGCCGTTCCGTTTTGATGGGGTTAATATGGTGCTGAGGTCTCATGTTTTATATTATTTTTATGGAGTAATACTTGAAAATCGTTCGATTTAAATTTTGAGCCTTTGTCCGATCTCAGTGTTTTTATGTCAGCGTAGGGAGAAGAATCTGCAATAAATTTTTTGATGGTTGATAGTGTCATTCTTATTTTTGAGAAAATAGACGAATACAACTCTGGAGAAATCAACGGGAAATGATATTGCGTATTTGTATTCATTTATATCCATTGGTTCTATGGATCTCCAGCTAGGCCTTTGTGCAGTAAATGATCCTGAGATCATATCGTCCTCGACGGACAAGGCGAAACTGTTCGCCTTTATCTTTGCCTCAAACTCAACATTAGATGACAAAGATCATCCCCTCCCCAACTTCCCATGTCTCACTGAGCACAACTTCAGTAATATACTCATTTCAAGAAGAGAAGTTTCTAGACTTATCAAAAGCCTCGACCTCAAAAAAAGCCACTGACCCAAACAAAATTCCAGTGATCGTCCTTAAGAATATCAACCCAGGATTATCTCCGTTTCTAGCAAAGTTATTTAATCGCTGCTTGGAGGAAAAATCTTTCCCAAGCATGTGGAAGGTGGCAAGCGTATGTCCTGTCTTCAAGAACGCGAGCAACCGATCCTCTCCCTCCTAGTATAGACCCATTAGTCTCCTCAGTGCCATCAGTAAAGTCTTTGAAGCCTTAACCAACAAGAAGGTCATCGGGCACCTAGAGTGGAACAACCTCTTGTGCGACGAGCAGTATGGGTTTTATTCAGCACGATCCGCTTCTGACGTTCTAACTAACATTACACACAGAATTAGTGAGGCCCTTGACGACACACATACCGTAAGGACCATGGAATTAAAATATCTCGAAGGCCTTCCACAAGTTGTGGCAGAAAGGTTTGCTTCACAAGCTCTCCAGCTATGGAATTACTGGAAGGGTTTTCTCTATTATAAAATCCTTCCTAAACTATGGCGGTCAACGCAGACGTCCCCCAGGGATCACTTCTCGGACCAACCCTCTTTTTGATTTACATCATTGATCTACCTAAGAATATACTCCGATCATTTGTAAACGTCTATGCCGATGATACGACGATATACGGGCGCACCTTTAAAAGTCTTGAATATCAGAGATTGGCAGCCGATCTCTCTTTCGATTTAATACTAATTCCCCAATGGAGAAAAAAACTAGCTGGTTACATCGAGTGGCTCTAAAACCAAAATGATTACATTCCAGCTCCGCCGATCAGACCTCGGACTATCGCCAGTCACGATGAACGGATGATAACCCCCCCCCCGCCGATGAAGCTCTATGTTTCGAGAGGATATTAGGCCTCAAACTCACACCCAACCTCAAGTGGAATTCCTATATACAATTCATCACCAAAGATGCAGGTAAAATGATCGGCACCCTACACTGCTCCAGTAAGTATACTCCCCATGCCACCATCTACCTTTATAAGATCAGGCCGAAAATGGAGTACTGTTGCCATATTTGGGTGGGAGTTGCTCAGACCTCACTTTCCAGAGTTCAAAAGCGTCCCCGAGTCCTCGTGGAAGACAAATTATTTTCCACGCTCCAATCTCTCTCCCACGTGGCGAGCCTCTATTGCTACTGCCATGGAAAGTGCTCGGACGAACTGCATCTCTTGGTTCCACCAGGTCAGACCTTCATGGCTAGGACGCGCCATGCCACTTACATAGTAGCAAACCACTCAGATTCCCTCCGTATTCCGTTGACAAGTAGCAAGTTCCACTCAAACAGTTTCTTCCCGCGAACCACTGCTCTAGGGAACACCTCTCCAGAGGATGTTTCTCCGATCACTACAATCTTAACTTGTTCAATTCGAGAGTCAACCGTTATCTTCCCCTCTTATCCATACAAACAACTCCTTAACGTAACCTCTACCTTGAGTGGCTCCTGGGCTTTGTAAAGGGTGAATCTTACTGTAAAAAAAAACTAATTCTAAGATGGATGTTGCCCGTGTGTTAGGTTGTCTGTTTCTAAACTTGGAAAATTTTCCCTGAGTGCAGATCTCACAATCTCTGTTCGTAGTACCTGTTCCTTTTATTCCCATCCTTTTAACTCTGCCGGGTAATTTAACGATATCATCGTAGTTGCAGTGTCCCAGTATCATCAAATAATATAGTCTTTTGTGAACGTATTTTGAATTTTCTACCACTCTTGTGTATCAATTTATTTTTATTTGCTTTAAAAATGTCTGTTGCTCTGTTCATAGTCGCAACCTTGACAGATAATATATGTTGCGGGTAGGAGTGGATGTATAGCGCCTTCTTGGTTGTAACTGCCACATGGTTTCCATCTATATCGAGTAGGTATATACCTCAGCGTCTCTCCTTTTTAGTCCTATGTCACTAGTTTTAGTTCCATCAGCTAAGCTCCATGTAGTGATTTTCCGGTTAGAATGTCTCGTCGTATTTTTTAAATTTCTTCACATCCTGTGTCAACCATTAGTCCCTTAGGTATTATTGTCTTCATTTATTTTGAAGGCATACGAGCTTTCTTCTGTGTCAGCTACTTTCTTCATGGTGTCTGTTCGTTTACAACGGCACGATTCTCTTTTGTGGGTAGTGCTTTTGCAGTAGTTGCACCATTGTTTGCGTTCTTTGTAGTTATTTCGGCATATTCTGGTCACGTGTCCCTTTCTGACACACGTAAAACAGAAGCTTTCTTGTCCGACGTGGTTTTCCTTCTTCGTAATTTTTGAGGATGAAGGAATCAACTTTATTACGTTGTCGCTGCTTGGGTTGCTCTTGTGTTTTACCGTGTCTTCTAAACTCCGAAGTTCGGTTTTAAATTCCTAGAACGTTAGTTCTTTGCTCTTGGGAGTCATGTGTATGGGAAAAGGGTTGACGTACTCTGGTAAACCTTTTAGTACCATTACGACAATCAGGGCATCGTCCACTATCTGTCCAGCATTTCCCAGTGCTGTTAAGCTGGTTTCCGTCCTTAATGTATTCAGTGACGCTTCCGTTAGAGTCCTTTTTAAGTGACATTAACGCGTTGTAAAGCGAGATAACCCTGGGTTTTCCTTTTCCTGCATAGTGGTTGCGTAGTATTCTTAGGGCTTTTCTTCTGTCGTCTCAAGGTTCTCTCATTATTAGCGACAATCTTTTGTCGTCTAAGAATTGTATAAGTTCAGCATAGGCTTCTTCGTTCCTTTCTGTGTCTTCTTCATCTCTGGTGGGGTTTACGCCTAAGATGGCATCTTTTAGGTCGCATGTACGTAAATGGCCTTAGAACTTTGTTTCTGTAGTAGGATTAGGTAGTAATAGCACCATATGGAAATATACACTTTCCTTTTCATTAAGAGAGTGGCAAAACTATCTTTCTCTCTCTCTTCTCTATTACACATATTTATTTTCCTTCCTTCTATTGTTCCTCTCCTCGGTAACTGACAAAACCCGGACATAGCTTATGTGGGTCAGTGAACGTCATAAAAAATCAACCAATAACAACATGTCTCGCCAAAAATCAAACTGAAAACACGGATGTGTCAGGCCCAATAAAAAGAAAAAAAAACCATGTGTGCAGCAGAAAGGGAAATTGGTTCGATGTAGCAGTTTGAGATGTAAGGGTTGGAGATTCATCGGATGTGCGTTTGACCGGACGTGCAACTCAAAAGAAAAAGGAGAAGAAAAAATGAATTCAACATATTATTTTCTGTCAGCCAAAAAAAAAACAAAACATAACGACCTTGTATAAACTCTCAAATAATAAAAAGGACTAAGACGATAGTCACTCACTTTGACCATTGTAACCAAATGGAGTCAACAATAAAATGGCACCATAGACAGTAAATTTGGCCTTTACTTATGTATTAGCCCAACCTCCATCTCTATATAACATATTTCTTAAAATTTTGTATTTTTCTTCGTCCCTATTGAATTGGTGTCTGTTTCCTCCTGGGCCCATAACCTGTTAAAGTTGACATGCTGCTGTGGAATAAGGGTTGGGAATTGACAAAGTCAAATGGAGGAAAATAACACACGTGTGTACAGAAAAGGTGTAAAATCTTTTTATTAGACTTTCGGTAGAGGAGAGCTAAGGAAAGGGAGATAATAGTCAGAGCTCAACAATCAGCACCGCCCCACAAAGATGCAAAGTATGTTGTATGAAACAGTGACAGTTTGAATTCCAGTTGACAGACGGAAATTGCATTCAATGTTTTTCACATTAAAATAAATGCTTTTAGAAAACAACAAAGAAATAACTCCACCTGTGTTCTTCCTCATCATACCTTGAGAAAAAAATGTAAATAGGAAAGCCAAAATTAATATTTATCTGGCGGTTGTGGGATTCCCTTACCTTGTCTATCAATGGAATTTGCCACATCATGTAGTGGATATTAAGTAATCTTCTTCTATGGATGGATATTCAGGATATGGGGAATTCTGGCTTTCCACAACTTCCTATTCCTCATAGTCCCTAGCAGCATTTCTCTCTTTGCCTAGCCTCCTGTTCCATTGTGCCTAGGGTCGAAAATGAGACTGGCTGCTAAAAGATGAAGCAACACAAAGATGACACGATAAACTCAACAACACTTTTATTCAAACTGCTGCTTGGTCTCTTTTGGTTCCAGCATTCCCTAGTGGGACCGGAAGTGCTTACAAATCATCATCATTGATGCTACAGAACACTTCCTGCTCCCTGTTCTGCCATCCATTCACTCAAGCGTGTCTGGCAGATAGGTAGCCTGCTGTCTTCCCCTGCCTGTCTTGCCATGAGTATGCTTTATGGGGGTTAAATTTACCAAGCCCCACCTCTTCTTCATTATGTGTCCAAGAAATTTCATATCTCTTTCTGATTCTGAGTATAAGTATTCTTTTTATTACTATTTTCTTTAAGACTTCCTTGTTGCTTACTTGCTCCATCCATGAAATTCTCAATATCCTTCTGTAGAACCACATTCCTGTTACCTCCAGTCTCCTTTTTATCTGTGGGGATATTGTCCAGCATTCATTAAAAGACTCTTTGTTTGGGATGTAGTAGCAAGACTTTTCCCCCTCCCTGGAGACACTTCCTGAGCAAGCCAACTGCTTGATTTTCATTGGCACACTAATACGGCACCCCTGCATGCACACACTACTGCTAATTCCATAAATATTTTTCTTTCCCTTTTTCTGACTTGTCTATCTGTACATACATGTATTTCTCATTCCTCTTTTGTGAGCTGTGTTTTTATTTATATTTTAGTATTCAACTTCTACCTAATTATAATATTACTTTGGCTCAGTGAATTCTATTAGTTGTAAAATACTTCAATTCATTTTTCATGTAATATTTCTCTTGACAACAAATGTTGTGCAAACTAAATGCCAAGTGGATCACAAAAGTTTTGACTAAAATATGTGAAAGATGTTACAATGCCTACAAAGTTGTGTTCAAAGTCAATTTACTGCCAAAATCTGGTTATGTGTTCTAGAGCCTATCATATAGTTCACATTAATTATAAATACTTGGACATATCTTCACTCTTCCTTCTTGCCTTCTCTCATATACAAGATGTATCTCAGTGATGAGGTCGTGTTTGTCCCTTAGGGGAAAATGCTATGAAACATCATCACGCACACACACACACATGTACATATGAACATCTACGAACATCTATTTACTCATTCAACCACAAATACACAGAAACTTATCAACTTCTAACAGTGAAATTTTCATTAGCAAACAGCACGTCATCAGAGCATGTATAATTTTCAATACACTCAATTCATCTCAACCAATTTCAATTCTCTATGATGAACGAAATTGAATGGCAAGATACTTCAATATATTTATGCTGATTTTCAACTTGGAAATGTTAAACTAAAAAATTACATTTTTAGTATAAATTACTACTTCTTTAATTCAAGCGATGAATACAATTTTCTCTTACTTAACAAGTTTCTCTGAACTCATCTTATACCGAACCTACAATAATATAAGTATAAATCTATAAAAAAATCTGTGTGTTGAATCCATGGCTTTTGAAAATTATTAACCTTTTCCCATCGTAATTGGCCAACTTCCAACACAAGACCTATTTAAATTAACTGTAAGTCCCCTACCTAAATTTGGTTGAAAATTCTTACCATTTCAAAATATATTAATTCAACACAGACATGGATCAATAGAATAATAATAATGATAATTTTATATATATGACTCAAACAAAATAGAGATACAAAAATGTTGGTGTAGTTTTAAGTTGGTTGATAAAGAAAAAGTTTTGTGTGAAATAAATGTTTATTTCAGACATTTGAGTTTAAATAAAATATCTATATGTATGTGCATGAAAAAGAGAGAAGGGATTTACATAAATGGAGAGAGAGAGAGAGAGAGAGAGAGAGAGAGAGCTGTGTCCTTGGGTGTAAGCTTGTCGCTGAAAATGTGTAGATGATTGAAAACAGTTTCATTGAAGTTGCTGGTAAGTGAAGTGAAATCCCGTTGAAGCAAGTGTGTCTACTGAATTCTTCTTTGGTAACTCAATTTTCATTTCTTTTTAAAGGCTCCAGGCTTAGGACTTCTAACACCAAAAATAGACAATTTGATTGGCCCATTATCACATGGTATTGTTCCATACTACATCCATGTGAAAAACAGGTTTAAGAATGAAGATGATTTTTAAATTTACAAAATCGAGGGCATAAGTCTTGTTTCTTGTGTTGGTATCCTGGAGCAGCTACTGAAAGTCACTAAAAAATATATTTAAATCATATTTAATATTAACTGTTATGGTTATTTTAAGAAATAACAAATCAGAATTTGGATTATAGACAACATTTAGAATTATAATAATTGAAAATTAATTTCTTTTCTTCTGCTGAAATTTTTAAGGTTTTATTTTTTCCATTGTCACTGATAAGCTTGGAACAGTATTGGTTTCAGTAATAGTTACAACCCTGATTGCATAATGAAGAACTAATTTTATAGAAAGCATTAACTAATTAATCTTTTATAATACTGTGATAATATTTTCAGTTACTATCTAGCTGTTACTTTCAACCCGTTCTGCTGTCATTATGTGATACAACCCACCATTGAAGGAAGACATCTTGAAGGCTTAAAAAATAAATTAAAATACATATTTCATCGTATGTCAAGCCCCACCAATCAGTTCCATTGACATTTAACATTTCAGTATTATGAAGTTACATACAAGAGCTAGTCATCTCTGGCATCTGGGTAAATGTTAGCCTGCCAGATACCTACAACTTTGCATTGGTGGGGGGGCGTGAAAAAAGGGAGGGATTTTATATGCCAACAAATATGTTTGCTCCAACTGTTCTTACTAAACCTTATTATAATATATATCCTTCATTATGAAAATGTTGAATTTAATTTCAGGTTAGGCAGGGCTGCTGTTAATAAAACATGGATACATTCATTTGAAAATCATATATATATATATATATATATATATATATATATATATATATAAACAGTATATTTATTTATTTTTGTTTTTTTGTCTACCAATCTGAATATTTGAGAAGTCTTATTAAAGAAAAATATGTGCTCTCCAGCAAGATTTGAACTTGCATCTCCTGGGTAAAGGGAACTTTTGTTAGATCCAATTTTTTTAACCAACTCAGCCACATAAAGCCTTTGCCGATCAAGCAAGGCTGAATAATGCCATTAAGCAAAATCCTTCTCATCACAGATTCTTGAAATTTTAATATCTTCTCTTTCGTATCTTAACATAAACAAATCAATTTC